AGAGAGGGGAAGAGGGAGAGAGAGAGAGAGAGAGGGGGAGAGAGTGAGAAAGAGAGAGAAAGAGAGAGAGGAAAAAAGTAGCGAACTCTTATTACAATTGCTATGTTTACGATCGTCACACACCGATTATTCGAATTATTAAAACGATGTTCTATGAGAGATCCTAAATGAATTGCAACGGGTACGTGGCGGGCAGCTCTTCGCGTGCCCGTCGCCGCGCGTATTTCTCGCTACTACGTTCACTTTCTCGGATGTGTTTTAGTTTCACACGGTCTCACACACAGAACACACATAGTCGATATGGTAATTGTAGAATATTAATGGTATGTGTTTAAGCGAGAATCGACCGCCTCTGTTTGCGGGGCTCTATATGATGATAATATTATTATTGTACATTTTGTGGTTTATTTAACAATAAAACGATAATGTTAACGGGCCTGCGGTTTCATTCGCGATCCATAGCCAGGAAGAACAACAAGTGGCGAACGGTCGCCATTTTCTCGTCGCCGGCCGCGACTACTCTAGATGGCAGTGAAGAGATTCTTTTTCACCTAGATATTCGCACTTATAAATCTTCCAGGTTTTGCCGCGTTTACAAACCAAAAAGCTGCTTCCGCCTTTTCTTTCAATAAGATTCGAAAGAATTCGTGGAAACTTGAAACGCATTCCTAACCTTATACCTTTACGAGCCGCCATTACGTCGCATACAATCAGTTGTTAGAACAAACATATTTTCCGTATAAGTGTTCTTATATCGATGATATTGATCCAATGAGATCCGTTGATGGTTGAGCAAAGTAACGTTGTCCGTGCGAGTGTTCCTAATCCGTTTCAGCGCGAATGTTTCTCGTTTACGACGCTGTCGCGCGTCTCTACGGGTCCCTTGTCTTGCCAAGGATCCTCGTGACAACCGAATATGTTCCAAGAGGACGCAGTCTCGGATAAACCCCATTGAAGATCCGAACCAATCGAAAGAAGTCTGCGTCCTCGGATCAATCCCCGACTCTTAGCTTCTTTTACGCTTGGACAGATCTTCAAGGTAAAGAACAGTCAGCAGGGATCAGCCAAGCAGAACTTTCTTGATCATCGCTCCGCTGACCACTTCGTCCCCGTCCCGTGACGCGATGCACTTCCTGCTGCACAAATACTGCAGCAACGGCAAACGGTATTTGCCGCAGAAATCGACGAACTTGACGTGTTCCACGCGATTGTTGAAGAACACACCTGCAAAACAGAGGATACCGGTTACTCGTGGTTATCTGTACGTCGATGGGCGCTTGAAAGTCCGAGTGACCAACCTTTGCACTTCGGATTGACGCATCGATGGCCGCTGTTCAAATATTCCACCAGGTTCCTCGGTATGTTCTCCTCGTCGTATCTGATCTCGCTGGTTTTGATCACTCTGGCAGCGTACTCGAGCAGCGACGGAGGATTGTGCGTCATGTCCGACACGAACCGCACTACAAGAGGATTGTCCCTCAGGGATAACTGAGAAAAGATAAATTATATTCTGAGTTTCACTGCTTTCTTTGCTCTCGACGTTTGATGACTAATGTCATACCTATATGCGATTGTTGAGAGTTAAATTATGTTTCAATGAAACTGATACTTAATTAAGATACAAAGGATAAAATGGTGGAATACATTAACACGGATAGTTCATCATTCGTATAATGATATTGAATAAACCGAAGGTAGCTGCAACTTATTCAAAAGAGATAAACAAAGCAACTATCACGAGGACTGGACTGTAGATTTTTTTATTTTCAAAGTTTATCGCAAAGCTGCGAGCGCGTGAATGTCTACAGAGCGTTAACTCTTGTTGGTCAATCTTTCCGACGGTCAATGTATTAAACGGTCCAGCAGTAATTTTAAAAGTACTACCTCGGTCAAACACTTTAAGGTGATAATCTCGGTAGGCAGTGTCCTCAGTCTGTTCTTGTGCAACAGCAACGACTTCAAATTGCTTAAATTGGCTATGGAGCTGGGCAGACTCTCCAGCATATTGTCGCAGAGCACCAAGGCCTGCAGGCACTTCAGCTGACCCAGCGTCGAGGGCACTTCCGTCAGTCTGTTGCCTCCCATCGACAGCACGTGCAATCTAGAAACGCGTAACACGATTTAGACGATAATGTTACTGCGTCTCAGCGAGACTTTGCTGACTCACGCTCGGACAAGCTGATTAGCGAGAGGGAACGGGTTAAGCGCACTTTCCGGACACGAGAAAGTATTTTTCCAACTGGTTCGAAGAAAAAGCGAATTTCGCGCCCATCCGGTCGGACCACGACCAACGGAGTTTTGCCCGAAAAGGAAACTGATAAGGATGACGACGTTTGTGACCTTTCCGCGATAAAGCTGTTCGTAAAAGTGCAGTTTCTATGTGACAACTCGATAAGACTCACTTCTCGAAGTTCAGGGAAATAGAGGGATAGAGCGGATCGGTTGATGAGAGATTCCAGGAACAGTTTACGCAAGACTTTCACATATTTTGAGTCCCGTTGTTGCGCGCACGATATACAATTCCGAAAACAAAATGGCTGGTGGCACGATCTGGCCCGACCAACCGGCGCCAAGCTAGAATCCTCTATCAACCGAGAAAGACACTTAGCTCCCTGTACACGTTCCATTTTTCCAAAGATTAACGCGGATCAATCCCATTAGCCATACCTCTGCAGCTTCCAAACATCCTTGCTGACCTCGGTGATATGATTACCGCCCAGGTAAAGATACTTCAACTCCGCTAGATCGAGAATCTGCTCGGGAAACTCCGTCAGCCGGTTCCCGCTGAGGTTCAGCTCGCGGAGACCCACCAGGTTCTCGAAACTTTTGGGCAGCGAGTCGTTCGTTAGGTTGTTATTCTTAGCTAGCAAGCAGGACAAGGGACAATTGCCTAGGAAGTCTGGCAGCCGATGGAGACCGCAGTTCGATATGGACAGCGTATTTAGGTTGGTGAAACGGATGATGCTGATCGGGATGCTGGTCAGGCGATTCCTGTTGAGCAGCAATGTGTCCACTTGCTCGGGGCTTTTCGCGTTTAGGAAATGATCGTTCAGCAGCTGCGTGTCCAGCATCAGGTACGACAGGTCCAGTGTCTTTGCACTGGAGTCCGAGTCGCTGGAGTCCGAGGTGTAGTTCTCCATTGGATTCGTCGAGCTACTCGTGACCTGGACGACTTCTTGGTCTGAAAAATCGATGCAACGGCAAATAATATTCCTCCCCTGCGATTTAAATGATAAGGCTTATTCATATTGCAATCGCAACAACGTTTATTCATCGGGTTAACCGAACAGTTTCGTTTGAAATGCCCCGAGAAACAGTTACTGCGGCGCAAAGCTGTGAACTCAGTGAAACGCCAACTTCTTTCGCAGCGTTGTCCCTTCGCGTCAACGGGCTTATCTTTCACGCGCAAACACTGTGTTCCAGTGACGTTTGCAAATCACAGTCCGTGTTTTTTATTTATAACTATCCTGCTCTCTTTCTGGAATATGCAAATCATATTTCAACGGCCCATGCGCCGATCGCCTATCATGTCCGCTGGTCCATCGCTTTCGCGGACTACGGGCGGACTGTCTGCGATAACTGGAATCGAATGACATTAATCATCGATCTCGCTTCGAAACGTCGCGGCGCGTTTCAAGTCGCTGCGATTAAGCAACGCTACGCAGATAAATTCTTGGTGAACGAGGGGTCGTGCGAGCGAGTGCATTCCACCGCACCGAGTTTGTTCGTATCGCGGAGACTTCTAATTGTACCTCCTTTTTGCTCATTTTTCCTAGTTTTCCGAAGGCAGCGTTGAAAACACTCATTCGTTCCATCAACAATCGGTTATCTCAGACGAAATGAACGTTAAATTAACAAGATTGAATGAGATCATTTGAAAGAAATGTACACAGAAGCGTATTACAAAATCTTGGAGTTGATACTGATATGGAAATGAATAAAACGGCCCGGAGAAATATGACGACGTTCATAGCGACCCAAAGTGACGCTATTCGAGGGAGGTAATCGAAAGAGATTACAATATTCTGTACTTTTGGTTATCTCGGATGGTTTTCCGGAAATCTGGGCCACAGACGAACGAGCGTGGTGAACTTTGAGACGCATCGAAAACAAGAATCACGTGTGCACGTGTCTACGAGTTATCGGACCGGTCCTGTTACACGCGGGTTACATCATGAGATCGAAGACGAAAATTACGAATCGTTATTGATAATGTGTGTTTTCACTTTTGACGTTGCCCTCCCGGTAATGCATCTTTCATGCGTTGTTCACGGACGTGGCATTGGCATGACGAAGGCTGCAATCGCGCGGTGGCGTGAAAGTGGAGTAGCCTCTATGAAGCAGTTCCAATTAAGTCAAACTCGTTAGTCAAATCATCTGAGCGTCGTCGACAAGCTTCGAATCGGTTACAGTATTTGATTACAAAACAATTACAAACATTTAAACGAGTCTCGGCGCTTAAAGGCATCTATATATAACCGAAAGCACGAGCAAAATACATAATACAGCGATACCACGGTGCAAAAATCAAACGCGAGCTCCATAAATCAGCGTTGCCAGGCTAACAGTCGCAGTCAGGGTCACCACGGAACACTTACAAACAACTTTGCAGCCGACTTTTCGAAGATCTGCTTAATTGGAGTATCGAAAACCCATTCGAGCTGTTCCCAAAAATGAAAACTCAGTGATTTTCAACCGTACCCCGCCTCGAAACGTCCCCACAATGGCGCCACTCGTGCGACTTCCGGTGATCTTGGCCCCACAAGCGGTACCAAATTTTTCAACCCGTTTCCCCGTTTGAAATGCAACATTCAGATTTCGTTTCTTCGGTTCGCTGGGGGTTTCCTATTGGAAATTGCCACGCTGCACGTCGACGACGCGCTGATCGTGTTGCTTACCTCGTCGTTGGTACAGCGGAAAGCTTGGGGCCCCTTCTCTGCCCAGGTTCCTGTGTGCCCCTATCGTTTCGCGCGCTCGTGTGCGTCGGTTCCGCGGTCGTCGGCAGTTTTCGCTCTGATTTCGTAGCCTCGTGGCACGCTCGCCTCACGGATCACGAGAAAACTGGGACGCGCGATCGAGCCGGGATACGTCGGAGCTGGCGGGGGATCGAGACTGAACGATATCTGGCTTTATCAGTTCCCTTTATAAGTGGGCTCGGGAGCGCCTGCGGACGCCATCGCGGGCGAGCCGTGCACTGGCCGTCACCGCGAGAAACATGTGTACGGGAGAACGGTAACACCATGAGTGACCCCCGTGCCGGATGCTGCCTGTTCGATTCTCCGGCGCTAAGGGGAACTGAATCCAGCAAGAAAAAACTACGTTTCTACGCGCGGATCTCGCTCCAGGCTCAGTAACGTCTGATCAGCGAAATAAATGTTTCAAATAGGGTAGGACCTTTCGATCAACCAAAGCACTGTGTATTGTTTGGCTACGAAATCAAGTAGTATTTGTTTGTGGAAGTGAAAAATAAAAAGGAACGTTTCGCGAAATAAATCATATTGTAATAAATCAACTTTCCCGTTGGATAAGAATAATCTGTAATGAATAAATATACATTCTTTGTAATGACAACAGTGGACGAGTTGGTCATTTGATGTGTTCGAGAGAACATTGAATCCCAATGAATTATAAATTAACCCCGTATACATGGATTCGGAGTTGAATTTTGCAGAAATACCGTTATTTATCCATGGACCGGTGGTTGGAAAACGCAGATTTAGACCGGTCAATCTTGGTTATTTAGAAACTTGGTAATTCGGATTCTTTGATTACAGCTTCAGTATGTGTACGATCGAATTTTCGAAATATGCTTATGTTGTAACAAAATGTAAATTGATGGAGGTAATGTTCGAAAAACGTATTACAGTTTTCTGATTAGTCATTTGTAATTTGGAAATAGTAGAGATTTAGATAAATATTAGTTTATGCACACAATCAAATGATTTCATTCAACTCCATTTATATAATAATGAAATTAATTTGGATTCAATGTTGGAAAATGAAAACGAAATTTGGTCATAAATAAAGCTAGTCTGTATTGATCGATTTATTTTTGTATTTTTAAGAGAGTCGATAAAATGTTTATCAACCGTTTTCAAATTTTCTTTTACTTAAAAGACTGACATCTATCTTGTTTTCGGACTAAAACTAATTTGAATTTTTACGGAAGCTATTCATGCGCCATCTTTCATATAAGCTTGCATTTTAGCAAAATAAATACAATAATTGTAACACGTTTTGGTTATTTTTAATAAGAACATTATTTGAACCAATTAGTCTGTAGCTGTTATGAATTCATTAATCATTATTGATATTATCATTGCATTCATTGTGAATGATTTACTTTATCGCTTGGACCATATTTTTAAGGTTAGAATATTGTAACATGTACACGATTCTTCGACCTTAGGAAAAGTTTCTAAGTATATCTCAATACTTTTGTTTTCTACCACAGTGTTTCGGCGAAATATTTTATTTTTAATGTCGTTTCCTAAAAGGATTATGGTTTTACATTTAAGCCAAACACGTTCGTACATGCAAAACCTCATTACGCAAATCCTCAAACCTAAAAAGAAAATACGTAGAGCGAACAATCTTGACTATGTAGTCAAATTAACTGGAGAGAAGTTTAAGTGTGAATTAACAGGACCCAATGTTTCAACAAAAACGTGGGAAACAATAAAAGAACACATGATACAAGACGCATCAGTTAATCCCATAATTGTTGATACTTACATTTTAAATCTGTGTCGTCGCAAGGAATTGTTCTATGCTGGGAAGACATATTATTATAATCTTTTGAAGGTGAATAATCCTTCTGTAGTAACAACTGCAGAATATTTACACCTGTTAGGCTCTAAGGAAACTCCACTTACACCAGCGGAGAAAAGAATTGTTTGGCGGACATACAATAAAATTTCAAAAAATCATAGCACGTTTAACGATAATCTAGCTACTGCTTGTGTTATGGCATTAGTTAAAGCAGATTATATAAAAGAATCCATTAAAATTATAGATGATTATGAAGAATTCAACCCACAAGAGTTCCTCTGTGCTGCAGTCAGTACGTTAATTGTAAAGTTATTAAATCAAGGGAATTTCTCGCTGGCATTTGAATATTTGTCTAAATGTTGCGAAAAATCTACAGGACCTAAAGCATATGTGTATAATGCTTATTTGGAATATTGTGATCAAAATCCTAAAAGCTTTACTAAACACATTCAAGAATTATTTCTATTATTGAAGGAATATGGTATTTTTCCACCTGAGTGTATTATGACACGTTATATAGAAGTTTGTAATAAACATGATTGGTCTGCACAAACAACAAGACTAATAAAGTATATAATATTTCGATATATTATTATATACTTTATAAATTTTATTAGGAAAAATAAAACTTGGTTTCTGTTACAGCTCTGAATGTAGTAGGTGTAGACATAAAGCATTAAATACAGCGTTAACTGACATAGAATTTAAGTTGTTGCAACAAACTGTTATGTCAAAATTGTTTGTTGATAAAGTTTATGAAATAAGTAGTCCACAGGAATTGAACAGGTTTCTATATTTTCTTGAGGAAACAAAACCATATGATGTTGTTATTGATGGGTTAAATCTCCTATATAGTAACAATATTAAAAACCTCAGATCAGATAACGTAAGTAATTTCAATAACAATGCAATTTCTAGAAATATAAAAATATTTTAATTACAAAATATGCAGTAAGAATTAAAAAGAGTAATATGGTTTCTAAAAAAAATGTGAATGGCCATACGCATTTTGAAGCATCTTCATTAGTAGGAAAAATTAACATGCATATGGCAATTTAAAAAAGATATTTATGTGTGTAGATATAATGGAAGTTTTACATTATACGTATCTGATCATTTTTCAGCTTGTGTTGCTTCTTAAACATTTACACAAGATAAATAAGAAAGCACTTGTAATTGGAAGAAACCATATGGAAAGACTCAATGTTGTAAAACAGTTGCAGGAGACAACAAACTTTTATTTTTTGAAGAATACGTAAGTAGGCCTGCTATATGTATATTCAACCCTAATATAACAGGATTAATTTACACCATGTTGTAGTGAAACTGTGTTCTAGAGTACCATCAATTGAATTGGTTACAAGAATTTTCTGTTTTAACTATTTTAACTAAAAGATTGTGATGGAAACATTTGTGCTATATCAATTAATTTCTTTCTCTGTACAATGCAAATAATATTTTTTCATTATTTTAGGTCACAAGATGACCAATTTATTTTATATGCAACAATAGTGAGTGGAAATCAGGCCATGATCATCTCTAATGACTATATGCGTGAACATAAATTTGCTCTGAAAAATGCAAAGTTGAATATTCTTTTTAGAAGGTGGCAACATTCCCATCAGTACATATTTAATATAGATGCTGCCGGACAGGTTCGTCTACAATTGCTAAGTGGATCTTACAGAGATCCAGAGCACAGAATAAATTCTGGTGTTGAAAAGTCTGGTGACTTTTGGCATTTGCCATTCCAAAAACATTGGCATGTTACGAAAATAAGTCTGCAAGCGCCAAAACAGTGGGCTTGCTTTAGATTACCTGACTCCTGTGGTCACTTTAAACAATAAAAATAATATTTTGTAGAACTATAAAAATTTCTGTAGATATCATTCATGTTTCCTGAATTAAAATTATAAACTAGCTTATCATACGAAACAGAATATTGCTATAATATCAACAGACGTAGGGATATTCATGCGTACTTATATATCCTAATACTGGATTATTCTGTGAGATGGCAGCACAAATGCGAATTGAGTTTCTGACTCGGTAAAATTTGTGTCATACATTCCAGTTTGTGCTTGTCAATGCAACAGGTGTTACGGATTGTAGACTTTTCGCGTGAGCTTTTAATGTTGTGTTGCCGCGCGTTCATTCGTACTTTGTTCGCGTTCGTCCGGTACATCTTACGAATCCGTTTTCATTTCTAGCCCGAATCGGAACGTGACGTTACAATCTTTCATTGAAAGTGCGTGTATATACTCGGCAAGTGATTTATGAAGCGTGAAAAGCACCGTGTTCGCGACAACGGAACGGTATGGAACCGTCAAGGTAAGAAGTTAAACGTTTATTCATAATCGGAAGTTGATGCCATATTATTCCATAATTGTGTCGTCGCATTGTTTAACACCCACGGCTTAAATTTATTCGCTGTTTAATAACAGTCGTCGACACGTGCGCGAGGTTACACGATTTACATAACTGTTGTTCTTTAAACGCCAAAGAGACTACCGTCCGTTGCACGGTGTCACGCGTGTTCAGTGTCATTGAATGCCACTTCATGACTCAATGCGAACCAATTAAAGAGGAAGATACTATCAGCGAAACGACGGTAATACCGTCCACGTTTCAGTTACGTTTCCTTTGCCAAATGATCCGACATTAAATAATTTCTTGCTCATACAATGATTCCATTTAAATCAAAAACATTGATACGGGGCTCGGTAAGTCTTATACTATTTAGACCTTCGAATGCTACAAATTAAAATCGCGGTATGCATTCGTAATTAAACAGTTCAATTACGGCCGACCCTTTTTTTAACGACATTAAAAATAAAATTATAAAAATTCTATATATCGCGAGCCATTCGGTAAATTTGAAATCGTAACGGATGGAGTCGTCCAAAATGTGTCACGTGACTGTCGTGTTCCAAGATGTCGACCGCTATCATAAAACAGCCCGCTATCGAACTTAAGGAACTCCTATTATTCATTACGAGAATATTCCCGTCATAAAAGATCACAGGTAAAACGTTCAACGAAAATGTTTAATAAATTCCTTCCTTAAGATTTAGCATTCTTTAGATTTCACAAATACGCAATAATCAAAAATATACCCGGCATGCCATTTTCGAATTACTTGAACGCCGCCACAGAAGAAGAACGATAAACGGTTTGTTTCGCAAGTTATTTTTAACCAGTTAACACACTGACTATCACAAGAATTTCGGGCGTTTTTAGAAATAATTATTAATGTTTTGGTATTACAGTATTCATTTTACACTATTATCTAGCTTCTTGCGTTACTAAATATTTTGATTCAATATTCATTTCCTTATTGTAATTTTTTTTAAGCAATTCGGAATCTCTGATCACCGGTGACCACCGTGGCAGTCAACGTGTTAATTGTGCAATTTAATTTAAAAGATCTATTGTTGCAGGGCGCGTGACGAAATCAAGTAATGATTGCACGCGTTAAACACGAGTATACCTAATATATCTTCAAGTAAGGAAATTATAGCAAAACAGGTCCGTTTGAAAATAATTGATTATTGAAAAAGTTAGTATTGTTGTTGCTTTTAAGATGACGAGTATACTCGTTGAACACAGTTAACCGGTTAAATTTCATATCATACAAAAAGTAGACTTCGTCGATTATTGGTTTCAACGTGAAAATAAAAACGTGGTTCTAGGTTGACGACTGTGAATGCTGACATTTTTTGCTGGAAACCGTGTGCGCCGTTAATCACACTTCATATTTTCGATTTTCTCCCTCCTACCGTATCTTTTTTTTGTTTTTAATTCGCGTATAAAATGTTCCAGCCTTTTCGTTCGTTAACAATGAGTGGCAGGGCCGTCGACGAGTATCTCGGGGTCGCAATTAACAATGTCGGCGATCTTTCCTAGCCGTGGCTAAGTGAATGGTCTGGCATTCGCACGCGTCCGGAGGAAACCCGTTTCTACACGTGGGTGGCGCGAAAAAATGTCGGAACCTACGCGAGTTTCACGCATTTGGCGCGTTTCAACGATCGAACGTCCCGCGGCCTTTATAGGTCGATTCAAAAGTTATTGCCACGCGCGTTCGCCGACCGTCGCCGCGACGGGAAACGTGCGTGGCACCTTATGTTCTATCTAGCTATTTGAAATACGTGTTTTGCAAATGTAATAGGTTTAAATATTTGTGACACCCCGCATTTCAGTCTCCTCGCACAATTTTGAAAACGGCGAAGCACGTGTTAAATTGTTCATTTTGTAATATGTTTACACTGTTAATAGAACCGTCAAATAATCTTTTACCAAACAAATATTAATAACCTGCTTCACTCCCTTAAGCGTTGAATTTTGAAAAATGTTTTCTGAATAATTTTGCATGCGATGAAAAGTAGCTACTGCCCAAACTTCGTGTGTTTAGCTTCAGCGAGTTTGCCTCGGCGTTGATGAATCAATCAGTCAGTTAACCGGGACATTTTTCTTTATACATGCAGATTGCACGACGCATGATGACGAAATCGGTGTTGTACGATCGATTGATCAATAGATATGATAAGAAGCAAACAAAGCATCCCGACGAAGTTATTTGTCCGTATTGAGCGGAAAACTCGAGATCGCGGCGATCACGGTTTTCCTTCCGGGATTCGATCGGATCATTGCTAGATTCTTTTAGATCGCGCTAAATGCTTCATGCACTGGCTGTCAGATGGGTTTGCGCAAACGTTTGTTATCAGAATAGGTTCAACGGTGATCATTAGTCATCGAACCGCGCCGTTGCACGCAATTTCTTATTTATTCATATATTTATTGACGATCTACTGGCCCACATTACAAAAGAAATTTTTGAATAAATACTTCAATTGTAGTTCAACGATCTTAAGTATAAATGAACTTCTTTTCGCCTATTTTCGTTACTTAAGGGTTAAATACCTCCATTGCTTCTTCGAAAGTCCATTCATGTATCGTTATTTCCTGCCCATTATAATTTCCCACGCATTTCACTTTTATAAAAACGAAACTCTGATTGGAAACTATAGGAAGTAGAGCGTTCTGAGCAATTTCGACTTAGAACTGGATAATAGTATTTTTCTGGAAGTTCGTTTCTTTCACGCGTGTGTCAGCATTTCTGTTTTATCGGAAACGCTCGAAATATATTCGAGGCAACTTTCGTCACTGTATTTATCCCGCACGCTCGCCTAAGGACGCTAATCAATAACACAGATAATGTTCAACGCTAATTACTGTTAATAGAAAAATAATAACGAATGTTGAACCGAGATTCAGGAAGGAACGTTAAACAGACTTGTTGCCAGATCGCCGCGAATCGTTAACTCTGTTATTGCCCGGCGAGATCGGTACACATATATACGAACGGAATATCGAATAACCTCCCGTTTACTTATTATTAAGACTTTCCACGTCTAACGCAACCTAATGCTTCTATATATCTGTCGTATAATTTAACGTTCATTCTACATATAAATGTTTACGTTTACAACGAGGATATAAACCTTTTGATCCGGTTCTGGCGAGCGGTCGGACGCTTACGGGCCGTAATGCAGATACGCCACGTTAGAAAGCATACTTTACAGTGATGGCCGCAGCTAAAACAAACGTTCACAATTTCCTACTAAAATCCACAAAAATTGAAAGAAGACGACACGATCCTCAAATGAGACTCGCCGAAGTACCTTGCGTATGATACACAAATAATCCTATGAACACATGTATTTAGCAACAAAGTATCAGAAAATGATTAAAGCAATAAGATTACGAATGTTTGGGTTTTACAATATTTATTTAACTGCTTTAGCGTTTTACTAATGTGTCACATATTCGTCATCGATCTATGAGTCCGTACATAAACCGTATCACTTGTTTTCGAATTTGCTAATTACAGGTAATTACGGTTACCATACGAATAATTTGAACAAAATATTTCTTTGCACTATAATTCGCTGTCTTTCGTTTATTTTGTAACAGCGTTTCGCTGTAACGCGCGACAAAGGCGACGTCGCTGCAATTTTCGCGAGCCAATGGACTTTCCCGAACGATATCACGAAAATCGCGTTGCCGGTCGACCGAGTTCATTAAATCGTCCATGGAGAACCATCGCCATCGTCGACAATAGCGCGATTGTTCTCGCGAACGCGGTATCGCGGGATACACGCGTTGCGGAGGCGATAAGGGAGATAGGGACGGATGTCAACGACTCAGGTAAGTCGGATAAGATTTCTCTTATCCAGACGTGTGTGCCTACCAGTGTTGACCTCCTCGATTCACGGATTTATCTAACCTCTTTCCGAAGGATTTCCCGGCGACTGCCATTCCTTCATTCGCACTGTGTAATATTTTTCCGCGTAGGAAATTTTCCGAAATAAGCCTAATGTTTCGACGTACCGGATCTCGCTGCCCAGCGGTTCTCAACTGGCGCTACCGGAGTGTAAATTCGCTGCGTCTGATTATCCGCCGGCATGATAATAATAATGTTTCTGTCACTATGATAAAGATTATGATTGAATTGTAAACATATATGAAGGACATTTTCAACATTTCCTTCGATAAATGTATTATGCTTACACTGTAAACGATATAAAGAGCTATATATAAGCTATATATAGATGATAATTAACACGTTCACTGCTGTGGTGGTCATCGATGATCCGAAGTTCTTGAAAACGGTTGCAATGTAACGATATAATAATGTGAAGTAAAAGCTGTGATATTCGATGGTTAGTAGTTTCTGATGTTGTTTATATCTTTGATAGAAAAAGAAAAAGAATACCGATATTTTGTGAGATATTTTCGAATTATGTTTTGAAGCGAGCTGTACAAAAGAGAACAGAGAGAAGAGAACAACCGGCCGTCCTCGAGGGGA